TTGACCCTTTCGAAGGTGTTTCACTGCGGGTCCAACATCTTCAACGATACCCATAAATTCATGACCAAGAACATCGCCTTTCTCCATGCCAGGAACGTAACCAAGATATATATGCTAAAAAACCACTTTATATTTCATTAACAAGCTTATTATTTTTTTACATGTATACATACCAAATCCGATCCACATATTGCAGTTGAAGTAACTTTGAGAATAATGTCCGCTGGATCGGTGATGAGTGGCCGAGGACGATCGACAACACGAACGTCTTTGGCTCCGTACCATTCGACAGCTTTCATAGTATTAACTGGATCTTTTTTCGGCGTGATCGTACACGCCGGAGCGGAGCGAAGATTTTCATTAGACATTTTTAAATAGAATGTTGAATATCACGTAAATAAAGTATTTTTATATGTAAAGTTCAATATAATCGAGATATCTAATTATAAATTGTAAACTGTTATTAGTAATAATTTCAATATAAAAATAAAAACTACCTGCAGTCTAACTTTAAACAAGTGTAACTAATGCGGTTTATATAAATTTATGTTTGAAAGTAATAATTAAACGACGATCTCACCTATATTTATTTCAGATCATTTTCATGGGGCACTTAGTACAAACTATTACAAAAAAAATAATATCGCTAGATGTTTTTTCTTTTTTTTTCTTTCTTTCCTTTTCCATGTACTCACATGAAGAGAAACGATAAATAATAGAATGAAAAATATTCTATTTTTCGTTTGCTTTTATTAACAACAAAAGAGAAAGCAGTGAGTGATGAATCTTGATGGTTAAAGGATCTTGTAAATGTTCATCCTGATGTATTTCAGAATTTGAAAGGGTCATGTCTATTAAATTTAGGAGAAATTCTTAAGACTGTAAATTGGCACGTGATCAAAAGTAAATAATCCTTGGAAAACGTGTAGAAGTGATTGTACAAAATTTTGTAAAAAAATGTAACACTGTTGCAGTGTATATGATATTACTCATTTATTTCCTTTCTTATCAGTACATAAATTAGCAGCAAGGATAATATTCAATGACTATATTCCGAACTACCTTAGATTGACATTGTTTCATAAAATACTAATAAATCATAGCACCCGCTCGCATTTTGAACTTCTTCAACCACTAAATAATACTAGAATAGCTGCGAGGAGATAAGAAATATCATTGGCAATTAAATAATGATGTAACGCCATCTTTCTTGTCTTAAAACTTTTTAATAACAGCTCAGTCATGTCGCGTAAACATTTCTGAGACGTCGCCAACTCTTCAAGGACACTTCCTCATCCAATAGTGTTCAATGTACGAAAGGGTACTTTGCATCGGAATTTGCACAATCAGCAGAAAATAATAAAAATGACGACACAATAGATGGAGGAACCTTTCGTACATTCAACAGTACTGAATGAAGAAGTGTCGTTAAGGAGTCGATGATTTCTCAATTTGCTCAGAAATGCTTACTCTACACGACTGAGTTGTTTCTAAAAAGTTTCAAGTCGAATCTCAGAACCAAATTTTTTCAAATTTTGGTTTTCTAAAGACCTTATGTTTAAAGTTTTAGATAGAATTTCTATCTACAAATCTTCTAACAGAAAAATTATTTCAGCTGTTCAAATCGTTTTTCAAATTTATTCTGGTGGTTTAAACTTTTGTCGTACATTTTAGTCTTTAAATTTTGACTGTATTGTAATTTAAGTGTGCGATTTGGACAAAACTCCATTTAAAATGCACAACAATAGCATACCTGCAATATGAAACACTTTGTATAGTCACTTTTGACGTTAGAACGGCTTGCTTTTTATTCGAAGATGTACAACCGCTCGATACGATAGAATAAAGTATAACACTTTTTCTCGTATATAATGTCTGATACGGTTGAGAGCTTGACCTAAGTCAGTACCGTACACGTGAGGAGCATGTGATAAGTAATATGTAGTTACAGTATAGTATGACATAAGCATAAACAGTATAGAAAGGAGAAAATGAAATTTAGATGAGAAGAGAAAGAAAAGCAAGAAAACAGTCGTAGTTATTTGGAGAGAATAGACATCAGAAGAAAGGAACAAAACATGTGTATATATACATTTACATAGCAAGGAAGCGATTGCCGAAGTCTAAATCCGACAGATGTTCACAAATTTTGGAACAAAACTAAATCTCTTTTTAAACCAAAAATACCAATATCTCTATTCCGTATATTACCTCAAAATAAAATACTGTTTGATCATAATGAGATTGCAAATCGCCAAGCCGATATACTGATTCAGCAGGATACAGAACTGTCCTCATCAATCACTTACAATAGTAATGAGGACATACTAATCGAGGAGTTAGTAAAAGATTTTA